ATGATTCAATGGGCCCAAAACATTGGTCACAGTATTAATCTAGAACAGTGGGAACAAATATGGGAAAAAATATTAAAATTACTAAGGCTATTCCGTATAAAGAAAATGTATATAAAACGTGTTATAGATGGTACGTAACTCCTTAAAGATTGGCAAAATTTGATCCTAAGTGTTCTAACAAGTGTTGGAAATGTGAAAATAAGGTTGGTTCATTTTATCATATGTGGTGGCATTGTGAAAAAGCTAAAAAAGATTGGGTAATGGTGCATGAAATTTTACAAAAAGTGTTAGGCACAGTTGTCTTATTTAAGCCAGAGGTTTTATTATTGAACATTTTGCCAGAAAATTCTAAGAAGGATGACCGTTATTTGATTGTATATGTAACTGCAAGAATCCTATATGTGAAATATTGGAAGTCACTAGAGACACCATCGAAAAGAGAATTTATAAATAAATTTCTGGAGGCAGCAGAATTAGATAAATTGACTTCATTGATAAAAGGTTTGACGGACTCTACATTTCAGAATACATGGGCACGTTTTTATAGCTGGTATGACAATTTTATGTAGGCAAGAGTGCATTGACAGACAATTTGTTTTATAATCTGAAGCTATGTATTCCTTAAAGATTTGTTAGATGGTTGAAGCTCACGGTACACAAGAATAGAAAACTATGTTATTTAGGCATAAGCATAAGATTGGTCAAAAAAAAATTAAGTACCCCCATTTATGTGTGTGTGTGTGTGTATGTTTGTTTTATGTTTGTATGTGATTGTGTGTTAAAAATCTTAATAAAATTCTTTCCTTCGGGACAGGTTTTTTTTTAAAAAAAGGAACAAAGGCAAAAATCTTAGCAAAAGTTCCTTGTTGCAGGAAAGGTACAATGATGTCATTGAACTTTGGGGATTTAAGCCGATCTCAATAGTCAGCTGGTTTTCTCACGGTTTCAGAATCTCACCTAAGTAGATATATAAGCCTTCTCTTTTCCCACTGGCCATTTGACTTACAGCGGCAGAGCCCAGTGGGCCACTGCCCTGGAGGTCCGCTAGCAGCATGGAACAAGGGGAGTCAAGTCCTAGGAGGCCAGCACTGCAGGTGCCACTTGGCTCAGACCTGGCCAATAAGGGGGTATGATGCAGGAGGAGGCCACAGATGAGACAACACTCATTGTTGACAATGGTCCTTATAGTACTGACTGGATGTGCTGCAGGGGGCCATTCAGCCTGGCTTCCTCCAGGGGCATTTTAACTTCCCTGACAGGCCTCTTTCCTGCCCATCACTACTGTGTTTCTTCTCTTGATTCAGTGTTCACTCCAGCTGCAAAGGATGGTGAGGATCCTTTCCAGTCTGACAATCTCCCTGAGAATCTGGGCTACCATGTGCAGATGAAGGAAGGTGTGGTGTACGTCTATGCTGACAAAGCAGCAGCTGCCCGGGGTGAGCCCAAGGACCTGCCATACCCTGACCTGGAGGTCTTCATTGATGACATGAACTTCCTGCTGGCCCTGATAGCTCAGGGGCCTGTGTAAGTGTCCTAGAGAGACTTTTCTTATGGTATGTCCATGCCACACAAAAACAGGGCCAACCCAAGATAGCATGGTGCCTCAGGAAGGAAATCTACAAGGCATCCTGCCCATAATGGAGGGGGGGGAAGTAAATTACATAGCTTTCAGTTTGCTGCCACTTACTGACACTCAATTTCTGCTGCCCATGATGGCTTCTACATTCAGTATCAGTGTATCAGTAGAAAAGAAGTAAGAACCAAGCATTCCTAAGAGTAATATACCTATCCCTGCCACAGTGGATTCTTCTGTCTGGTCACCCTGAAATGTGGTCTTCAGTTGCAGTTCTAGCTGGCAAAGGAAACAAGAGGGTTGGTGGTTCTGGCAAACACTATTTGCATTGGTGAGCCTCAGTAAACCTGTGCTCTGTGGTTTATTCTGTGAAAGACCTGCATGTGGCTATGCTGTTTCCTTTGATTCTTACAGTAAAACCTACACGCACCGTCGCCTCAAGTTCCTCTCCTCCAAATTCAAAGTGCATGAGATGTTGAATGAGATGGAGGAGCTGAAGGAGCTGAAGAATAACCCTCATCGGGACTTCTACAATTGTCGGAAGGTGGGGAATCTGTGTAAGGAGTTGTCTTCTTAGGGGAGAAGGTATAATAATGCTCTATGATGCAGCATATCTGAAGAATCGCTGTCGCTACAAGCCACGACTAGCACAGGCCGGAGAGTATAATGATGGTAGAGGGAAAAATGTATGAATCAGGATGAGAGCTTACTCCTAATTATAGGACTCTTGAGTTTTGGAGGCTCATCCATAAGAAAACTGTCTTATTCTTTCTAGGACTTCTCCTAGTTTTTAGAAAATTCACTTTATAAAGATGTAATGCTGCTATTATAATAGTATCATAAATGTGCATGAGGAGCTTACGGCTTCAGTTAAAGGAATACAACAGAGAGGAGGTAGATGGAGGAAGGGATAGAGTTGAAAGAATCAAGGGATGTGAAAGACCTCTGGGGATCCCCGGAGAGCTGCTGCCAATCAATAGACAGACAACTGGAGGGGCTGGGAATTAAATCTGGGACTTTGCACATGCAGGAGAGCTAATTCCCCTACTAAAGCTACACTGGAAATCCAGTGTCAGCTGCCCACAACTATCTGAGTGTTTATATACCATCACTGATCCAGGGGTATATCAATGTCCACCGTCCCTATCATAACCCAGTCCTCCTGAAACCTACTATTTCTTACTTGCATTGTGTTTCTCTCAGTGCCTGCTGTACACTGTGCCTTCCTCCATCCTTCAAAAAATGCCAGCCACTTTTGATCTTTCAAAAGAAAAAGCAGAATAGGTCAAGTGCATCTAAGTAAAACTTGCATTTACATAAGTAACAGTGCACTTGTTTGCAGTTACTGCAGTTTCTCCATTGATTTCAATAGGCTCAGACTGTAGTAACTGAATGCAATTGCAGTTATTCTGGTCGCATGGTTTTCGAAATGGGATTATTGGGACCTCCCTGATCAGTGTCTCTTACAACTGATGTGATAGTTCTGGAACAGGTAGAACATGAAAGCATTTGGACAGACCCTGGGTTGACATTTGTCTTCTCTGACAGGTGGACACACATATCCATGCTGCAGCTTGCATGAACCAGAAGCACTTGCTACGATTCATTAAGAAGTCATACCGGATAAATTCTGAAAGGGTGGTGTACAAGTCCAAGGACAAGACACTGACACTCAAGCAGCTCTTTGAGCAGCTGAATCTTCACCCCTATGACCTGACTGTAGACTCACTTGATGTACACGCAGTGAGTCCCACTTTGCCTTGCCTATGCCCCTGGGTGTGGTTAACCTTCCCATCATTCGTTGGTCCAGCAAGTGTTCTTTGCACTTTTTCCTGCACCCATTAACTTGGTGACTATCATGTTAATGTGAAAACTTTTTTTAAAAGTATCCATGATTTTATGACATGTAAGATTGTTTCTCTGCTACATGCTGATGGTGTTTCTGACTGATTTTGACTTGTGTTTGTTTCTATGGGTCTGCTTTCAGTTCTTTTGCTATTTTATATTATGGGCAGGGAACCTACAAAGATCTGCAAAAAGGAGGAATAATTGGGAAATCCCACCTCACCCCCCAAAATCTGCCCCATCCACACTTTCCACAAAATCTCAGATGCTTTAGACTAATTTTCCTACCCTTTCCTTTCCCTTTTAACTAAATATTCCTTACGGAGCATTTTCAGTCCTCATTAGGTTGTTTTTAAAAGGGTAACAAATGTGTAATATGCACCTCATTTATGCTACAGGGTCGCCAGACTTTCCAACGCTTTGCCTCAGATGCTTTAGACTAATTTTCCTACCCTTTCCTTTCCCTTTTAACTAAATATTCCTTACGGAGCATTTTCAGTCCTCATTAGGTTGTTTTTAAAAGGGTAACAAATGTGTAATATGCACCTCATTTATGCTACAGGGTCGCCAGACTTTCCAACGCTTTGACAAGTTCAATGCCAAGTATAATCCAGTAGGTGCAAGTGAGCTGCGTGATCTCTACCTCAAAACGGAAAACACCCTCAATGGTGAATACTTTGCCACAATCATCAAGGTTAGACAATATGGTATGCAAGCATTGGTGTCCGTATGGCCAGTGGTTTGAGGATAAGGCCAGTCCCTGGAAGCACATCAGGCGTAAGTTATCCCTTTCCCCTCTGATTTCCAGGAGGTTGGCTCTGACCTGGAGGACGCCAAGTACCAGTATGCAGAGCCACGACTCTCCATCTATGGGCGTACACCAGAAGAGTGGCCCAAATTAGCCAACTGGTTCAATCAACACCGTGTTTATTCTCCCAATATGAAATGGATGATCCAGGTGCCCAGAATCTAGTACGTACGGTGGAGAAAGAATGGGGACACTGCAAAGTAGCACCTCAGAAGTACCAACTTAGCTGAATATTGATGGAGTCTGTAGATCACATGTTTTTAAAAAACAACTGCCGGATTGTATTTCTAATATGTGATCACTCTAATATGTGATCACAAAAGAGGGCAGATCAAGGGAGAGAGCTATGCAGAAAGTGTCAGCCTTGATTCTCAATGGCCCACTTTCCACTCTTTGGGGCAATGGATATCAATCTGGACTGCAACTGCCTCTGGCCTATAGACTGGGCTAATTACTGTCCAGAGCAGAAACCAAAGTTTGACTCCATTCATCAGTATCTCCACTTGCAACATGCTTACTTTTTCTTTCTGTATCTGACTGATCTGGAATGTTTCTGTCTTTCCCCCAGTGATGTGTTCAGGTCTAAGAACTTCTTGCCACACTTTGGGAAGATGCTGGAGAACATCTTTGTGCCAGTGTTTGAGGCAACAATTAACCCACAGAACAACAAGGAGCTGAGTGTGTTTCTGCGCCATGTGAGTTCTGCTACCAAAGAGGGAGCTT